CTTGCCAGGTCCAGCAGGCCGTAGCTCGGAACCAGGCAGTCGGCCAGCCGGTGCCAGTAGCCCGACCGCTTCTCGAAGTGGTGCGGGCAGCTCAGGTCGATCGTGAAGGAGCAGGCTGAGCAATCCGCCGCCGCCCTCCGGATCCGCGCGTTGCTCTGGGCTGCGACGTCTTCCTGGTAGACGTCGTCGTCCTCGTCCGTCTGCGGGTCGCTCTCCTCGCCAACGCCCACGGCAGCCGCGGGGTCGTCCTGACGCAAGGCGGCTGTGCGTGTGCTGCCTGGTCGCGTGGCTGGAGGCGACACCAGGCTTTCGGCCAGCAGGGTGCCGCTGAGCACCAGGCTCCATAGCATCGAAAACGGAGCAAGTAGTCGTGGAATTGGCATTGTGGAATTCGATCGCAGGAATCGGCGGGCTGCTGCCAAAACGGTACTCGAGCCAATCGTCTACGCAGGCTTTAAACGAATGATGCGAAACTACGGCTTTTTGAAGGCGAAGAAATATTCAACCATTTCCCCTCATTCGCGTCAGATGCTGTTAAACAATTTTCACTCGTGAATCCTGGCTGGTAGTTGAAATGCGATCATATGTGATTTGTCTTAGGTCTTTCGCCAACTGGCTTATTCGGCCAGGCACCTAAATAGCCTGAAGTTCGAGAGCTGACCAATAACCAACAACGGAGGCAAATACAACAGTCGTCGAAATTCTCCTTGCCGGCGACAAAGAGCACGACGATATCAACCCTATTCGGCTGCGACGTAGAATTAGCAATTGCTTTCCTTGTCTTAAGAGGCATTCGTTTTCTGGTGCATGTAAAAACGGATGGAGCGGAGACCATTGGTGCAATTGGGACTCATGATTGTGGCTTCGCCCTGCGAACTTATGGCTGAAACAAATCATGATAGAGACCTGGCGACCATCGCACCACGGGCCACCCATTCACAATTGGCCAGCTTAAGGTTTAGAAGCAATGACCTTCAGCGAACCTGCGGTGGCGATAGCTTTAGCATTCTCGACATGGTGAAGGCATGTTATGCCGTGTGTTTTGGATTCCAACAGGCGTGCAAGTGCACGCGCACAACTTACAGGTCCAGGGCTATGGCGACACATGCCTACTTGCCAATCTCTTCATCTGCCACCCTGCCGTAGGCACGTTGTGGCGTGTTAGAATGTTCCACTGTTGACTGGGAAAAATTCAAGAATGTTTCGAGGGTCACCCCCTCCCCTTCTCGTCGCAACCGGGGTCAAGAACGCCCCCCGCCCCCTTTGAATTTTCTCTTTGGCGCCATGTTTTGGCCTCCAGACCGGCAACGGCTGCCCCGTAACAGCAGCACGACCGTCCAAAGACGACCCAAGGAGCCCCCGCAGGCTCCAAGAAGTCCCCATGATGTCCGACGACGCCTCAAAGAGACTCACAGAAGCCTCTAGCGTCGGTCGAAGAGGCTAAAACCATTGAGCAACATACGCACTGGGAATTTATTATTGTTCTGCCGAGAGCATTCGGCTTCAGATCGCCTCCGGAAAGCTTCAGACAGCCCCAGTGAGCCTCCACGCGGCTCAAACCTGCCCCGAGAGGTTCCCAGGTGGCCCCAAGACTGCCCGAGAACCCTCCAAGACGGCCCAAGGGGGCTTTAAGACGGTCCGAAGACAGAGGGAACGAGGTCGAGAGTAAGACCCATGCGTGTTCAGACCGCGCGCTGAACTGGTGTGCATCTTAAGCTCATTCTCTTGGACGCTCCGCTACACCGCTGGCACGACGGTGGCGAGATTTGCCGCAGGCAGCTGGATCCGCCGCCCCCTTTTGCTTTAGCAAAGGGGTGCCTGGCGTGCTGGACCCTCTCGGCTTTGGTTTTGGTTCTTTTCCAAAAGAACTCCCCCTGGGGCTCCGGCACGTCCCGCCGGCCACCCGGAAAGGCGCTCAATCCGGAACAAAAATCCTCCAAGATGGCTCAAGATGGTGTCCAAGACGCCTCCAAGAGGGCCAAGATGGCCTCCAAGACGGCTAAGATGGCCCAAGATGCCTCCAAGACGGCCCAAGGTGCACCCAAGACGCCCTAAGATGGCCTCAAGATGGCCCAAGAGGGCCCAAGAGGCTCCCAAGAGGCCTCAAAGACGGCCCAAGAGGCCTCCAAGAGGTCCTCCAGGCAGGCCCGAAGAGGCCAAAATCATTGATTTTCCTTAGGTTTTTGAAGGATTTTGGTAGTTGCGCCTTTTCGGCTTTCCGACGGCCCAAGACGGCCCAAGAGGCCCCCAAGGTCGCCCCAAGATCGCCCAAGAGGCCTTCAAGATGGCCCCATGACGGCCCACGAGGCCTCCAACACGACCCCAAGAGGGCCCCAAGACGGCCCAAGAGGCCTCCAACACGCCCAAGATGGCCTCTAAGACGGCCCCGAAGCGCCCCAAGAGGGCCCCAAGTCGGCCCAGAGAGGCCCCCAAGACGGCTCCCGACGGCGTCAGACGTGCCAGGAGCCCACCAAGACGGCCAAACATGGCCCTAAGATGGCCCAAGACGGCCCAAGAGGCCTCCAAGAGGGCCTCCAGGAAGGCCCGAAAAGGCCAAAATCATTTATTTCCCTGAGAGTTTTTGAAGGATTGTGGTATTTGCCTTTTTTCGGCCTCCCGACGGCCCGAGACGGCCCAAGTGCCCCCAACGATCGCCCAAGACGGCCCCAAGAGGCCCCCAAGACGGCCCAAGAGGCCGCCAAGACGCTCAAGATGGCCTCCAAGACGGCCCAAGAGCCCTCCAAGACGTCCTCCAAGAAGGCCCGAAAGGGTCAGATGGCCTCCAGACGGCCAAGATGACCTTCAAGATGCCCACGCGTTCCCCGAAGGCTTTCCAAACCGATTCGGAGAACACATGGTCCGATAGCTTGGCAGGTCTGGCCTCAACGTTCGGCCACATAGGCGCTTCCAAAAAGGCAGGGGGCGGCGGTGATTCGTCGTAGGCGTCTTCGATACATCTTAGCGGTTGCAAGCGTAACAGTAGTCTAGCGATGGTCATGGGTATTGAATTCAACCACTGCAACCCTTGCAAATCGCAAGTCGCATGCCTGATAATCATTTACGTCACACGATGCGCCACGTCATCGGTTCGTGCGAAGGACAAGCGAGTCCACCATAGTGCCACAGGTACTCTGTGCAGTTTCCTCAGGTCTCTCAAAGCCAGTGGATGCGAATCTGTTTCCCCCACATGATCCCGACGCCCCAATCCGTTGCAAAAGAAAAGCGTCAAAAGCTTGCCGGTTGGTTAATTGAAGACTCAGAGCCTCGCACCCCTCCATTAGGACGAAGCCAAGACGAAGTCAAATTCGGGTGAGGAAAAATCGGGAATCTCTGGATGTATCGGGCGTCGCGGCCTTCTCAGAGCGTTCCGGAACGTTCCGGAACGCTCTGAGAGCGTTCCGGGACGCTCTGGAACGGATTTATCCTCGTCCTAGCCCCGTGCGGCCCGTCCCCGCCAAAAGCAAGGGGGTGACCAAGTACAGTGGAGTCCAGTTCGCAAGAAACCTTCCACAAGAAACCCAACCCTGAGACCCCAGGACGTCCATCGATTTCTGGTGTGGGAGCGTCGCGCTTTCCATCGCAAAACCATCGGAGCCCAAGAAACTTAGCGCGCACCCTGGAGGCAAGCAGGATGTTTCTTGGCATGGGTCTGCACTGTAGGTGGGGGGAGAGGACTGGGAGGCGATCGAAGGACCGACGGAGGTCCAGAAGGTGCGCCTCTGTACACTCGTGCGGAGCACCGCGGGCGGAGCGCCAGGGGGGCAGGGGGGCTGCCAGCGGATGTTGGGGAGGGCGGCCTCTGCCCTGACGTCGCTGGGCGATTTCGGAACCCCTGGACCCAAACACGTTTCCATCTCTCGGGGGCGCACCTTTCACTCCCGCCGCCTTCCGCCGAGCTTCCGCTGGCGGAGGCGGCCCCGCCTTACTTCCGCCGCCCTTCCGCCGCGGAAGAGGTGACAACTCCTGCTATCCTCGAAGGCAAGGCCTCTTTTGGAACGCCTCAGCGTGTAACTTGACTAGACCGCTCAAGGGGTAAGAGGTCTGGGCTGAGTGAGCTCCGCCTGCTTGGACGGATTCTCCCTGCCTGAACCTCTCTGAAGCAAGAACGTTCAGGGGCATTTCTTTCCCCGTGTTCGACTTCTCGGGTTGCGGCTGGCAAGAACGGAAACAAACTGGAAACCCCAAATGGAACAACAAACGGTTCGTGCGCGAGCCAAAGACGGACAGTAAGCGGAGTGCCCAAACAGGGATGAAACAATTGCCGAAACGGTTTGAGCATGATCAGCGGTTGTGGGATAGCTGAAAACCTGGTGAGCACGAATGAAGTCTGATATCAAACTGCGTGGCAAAACAAATCTGCGTCTGGACTTGAAACCGGAAAGGCAACGGTAACCGAACACGAATCAGAAGTCGAGCTCACGCTTAAAGACAGCGGCAGCTCGAAACAGATCAACACAAAAAGAGACCAGCTACCAAAACTGAACTACAACATCTTGAACGTGATCTTCGACAAAAAACGCCCAGCACTTTGTAATAACATCCAATCTCTAGTGCCTCCGAGTCACTCAGGGCACCTGTGACCAGCCTATCGGCCAGGCTAGCACAGAGGAAGCCCACCCTCGCAACCACTCATAGAACCCCTTCCTATCCCCTCAACTGACTACCTACCAGACCACCTGAACCCAACCCGAAGACCCAAATCTGGGGTTGGGGGGTGTACGGGTTCCACATATGTTTCTTCAATGCTCCCCGACGTCCCCCTCTCCCACTAGGAAAACCCCTTCTATCCCCTCAACTGGCTACCTACCAAACCACCTGAACCCAAGCCGAACACCCAAATCTCGGGTTGGTGGGTGTACGGGTTCCACATATGTTTCTTCAACGGAGTGGGGCCTTCGGGTTGGGTTGGGCTGGTACTCGGTGGGTGGCGTTTAACGCCCCCCCGCGGTGCCCAGACAGATTTTTTGAAAACGTCGACCCCCAGAAGTCTGGACCCCTTCCCCGGGACCGGCTTTTCATCCTGGGTTGTTTTTTGACAGCCCCAGGGCCTGGCAAGGGCCCCTGGAGGCCGAAAACAGCTAAAAACAATGCTGTTGTTTTTGTTTGGTTTTTAGTTTTTTGTTTTTTGTTGTTTTTGTTTTTGTTTTTGTTTTCGCAGCGCGAGGGGGGGCGGGGTGGTCCCAGCGAGGAGCCCTGTGCAGAGCGTCTCTCGCCGCCCCCTCGAGCCCGCGCCTGCCGCTCTCCCGACCCTTCCGCTCCATTGCGCCCGCTGCCGCTCCTCCTCGTCCTCCTCCTCGGTGGCCGCCCTCCCGCCTGCTAAGAGGTCTTGCCCCCGGCCCTCCTCGAGGATCGAGGAGGGATTCCCAGACCTCCTCGCGTCGTGAAAGAATCACGACGGGAGGTTTTTCGCTATTTTCGGCCTCCGGGGGCCCGTCAAAAAAACAACTCACTGTGAGGAACCGGTCCTGGGGAAGTGGTCCAGACCTCTGGGGGTCGACGTGGTGAAAACAACACGACGTCGGAGGTCTGGTTTCGGACGTCTTCGGGCGCTTCTTTGACGTGTTCGGCCCTTGTCGGGCTGCCGGGGGCCTCCGGGGACCTCCGGAGGTCAGGATCCGGAGCGGGAGCAGAACTTACGAGGGAACGAAGTTCCTTTGGGGCGACAGAAAAAGCCTAGGTGCACGGGGAGGGCCCGAGGAGCAGCCACGGAACGACCCAAGGAACAACGAGCCCCCCTCCGAGCCCAACGCGGTCCTTTCGTTCCGCGTCGTGCCTGTACCTCGCTGGCTCCTGCCACTCCATCTCCCCCCGAGCCTCCTCTCCTCTGGGCGTGCACACAATCACGGCGTGGCTCTGGGCTGGCAGCTTTAGGCTGGCAGGGTGTGCCACCCAGCTCCTGGACAACAGAGAACGTCTCGGGATGAAAACCTGGTCACGGGGAAATTGTCTAGACTCGGGTCGGGCATGTCCTCCGACAGGCGGACTTTGGAAGAAAAACAACAAAATATTCAAACATCGTCTAAAACTTGTCGAAGAATAATCGAAGAATCGACCCCATACTATTTTTGACTATTTTTGAATTTCCCTCCTGTAGAGGAACATGCCCGACTGAAGTCTAGACATTTGGGGGCCCACGGCCCACGTTGTGACAAAGCATGATGTTGGAGATCTGGGTCCTCTTCCCCCGTCCTCCATGAGCTCCTTCCCCTCCTCCTCCTCCTCCTCCTCCTCCTCCTCCTCCCCCTCCTCCTGCTTCTCCTCCTCCCCCTCCTCCTCCTCCTGCTCCTCCTCCTCCTCCTCCCTCCTCCGCTCCGTTCCTACTGAACGCCTTTCCCAGGTGCGCTCTGTCCTTACGCACAAGAGCGCTGGCGGCATTCATCTCTCGGAACTGGATCCCTCGAGGATCGCCCCTGGTTGGCCAAGACTGCAGCCGCTTCCTCGATGACCCCAGACCCCACCTGAGCAGCACCGAAGTGCAACACAACGCACATCCAATGCCATGCTACGCGATGTAACACGACGCAGCGTAACCGAAACCAGTGCACCCCAATACAACAACGTGCATACAAATGCAAGGCAAGGCTGTGCAATGCAAACCGGAGCAGCCTAACGCGTAACGTAGAGCAGCGACTGAATCCGCCACCGTGCCCTCGAGGCACGAGTTGGAGTGCTCTCATGCTTCTGAAGATCTTCACCTCAATCCTGCGGATTCTTTAAGGGGCCCAGGCCCAACATTGCCACATCTTCTTGGGCGCGTGGCGTGGCCCCCGGAACTCCCCGCGACTTGTCGCATATTTTTGTTCGGGCCCAGGAGGGCTCCGAGACGGGCCAAGAGGGTCTCGAGATGACCCCAAGACGGTCCACGAATGCATCGAATCGCCAATCACTCGTTCCCGGATGCCCAAGATGACCTCCAATCGGTGGACAAAAAACCGCTCAAGAGGTCTCAGGAGGCCTCCGAGAGCCTTCCCAAGAGTGCCCCGGGTTGCCAGAATCACTTATGTTTTCAAGCGTTTCAATGGTTTGGGGGTTCTCCACTTTTCGAACTTTCGACGCTCCAAGACGTCCCAAGAAGCCCCCAAACCGCCCCACGACAGCCCCAGAGTTCCCCAAGAGGGCCCCAAGACGGCCCAAGAAGCGACCAAGACAGCCCACGAGGAGCCAAGATGGCCCCAAGAGGGTCCAAGAGGGGAGCACGAACCGAAAACCTAGCCAAAAGCACCAAGAGGCACCTGGAGGCACCACGAGGCCCTCGAGAGGCCCCCAGGAGGCCCCCGCGGGGTCCTCACGAGGCCCCAAGAGGCCCCCAAGAGGCCCCAAAAAGAACCAAAGATGCCCCCAAACAGCCTCCCCAAATCCTTAGAACTGCCTTCAGGAAGCCTCCGACAAGTCTCGACGAGGTCCCGACGAGCATCCTGGAGGCCTCAGACCCACCACCCAGGCACGGTGGCGGGCTGAGCTGAAGGCCATTCGATACAGTGCGATGCATTTCAATGGGAAGCAACGCGAAGCTGTTCAAAGCAAACAAGTCAATGGAAGCGACGAAATGCAATGCCACCGACACCGACACAGAACAGTTCATAGCAGAGTGAAGCGGACCGCTGCCGAACATTGGACAGCCTGTTCTCGCTGTGCACAGCAAGGTACACATGTTGATGTGTAGATGTCTATACAATATGCTTACTCCTAGCCTGTGGCCTTTGCATTCGATGCGCTTTTGGTGGCAGAGAAATTGAGGGCAGAAGGTGAGTTCGGTATTACAGCCAAGCAACATGCTGATGAGCTGATGAGGGTCGCGTCAGGTGTTTTGATGACAGCGCCCCAAGACGGGGTGGCGTGAAAATTCTTTGTGACTTCTAAGGGAACAAGTGGGGCCTCTTCGAAGCCCATCACGGCTTCTAAGACGCCTTCTTGAAAACCTCTGGGGCCTTCTACAGTAGGGGCCAGACCACAAGAAAGCTTCCATAAGGAACCCAACCTTGGGACCCCAGGATTTGCTTTGACTTTTGGTGTGGGAACGTCACGCACTCCATAGCAAAGCCATAGAAGCCCGAGAGACCCAGGGCACCCTGGAGGCGAGCAGGGTGCTCCTTGGCATGGGCCTCCACTGTAAGACGCCCCTCCGCCTCCCGAGTGTGCCACCCCTGTGACGCCGCTCCCTTGTGGGCGCCGCCCATGCTGTTGGCACTATTTTGTTCCGGAGAGGGCGTGCGCAAGACTGACGCGGCTCGGACTTCAGGGCTCGCGCTCGCTCGCGTCGCGGCCCCGGCGCGGAACGAGAGGCAGTGAGCGAAACCATCCTTTGAATGGTCGCAGGGGTCACGACGACGTCGCGGAGAGAGGAATGCGCAGGATGGAGGAGGAAGGCTGGCAACTGGCAAGGCGGGAGGAGGAGGAGGGGGAGGAGGAGGAGGAGGAGGAGGAGGAGGAGGAGGAGGAGGAGGAGGAGGAGGAGAGGATGAAGAAGGATGGCGGAGGAGGAGAGGAGGAGGAGGAGGAGGAGGAGGAGGAGGAGGAGGAGGAGGAGGAGAGGAGGAGGAGGAGGAGGAGGAGGAGGAGGAGGAGGAGGAGGAGGAGGAGAGGATGAAGAAGGATGGCAGGGGGGAGGAGGATGATCCCGAGGAAGACGAGGGCTGTACCTACGTGCTGCGCCTACTCGCAACGCCAGGTCGCCACAGCGCGTGGCGCGGAGCTGCACACCTACATGAAATTCTGCAGAGCATTGACCTGCCCGGGCGAAGCTGAGTGCACCTTCCACTCGAATGCTGACTCCGAGAGCCCGGTCCCGTAGAGCTGGAGGCTCATCTGCTCAACCGAGGTCCCGGCCTGCAGGGGCGCGCCGTACGCGTCCACGATCACCGTGGAGTTCCGCCCTTTGGCTGGACCCGCCCTGGCTGTCACTGCGTCCCACACTGACAGGAAGTCGACCACCGTGGAGCCACGGGCGAGCGCCACAGCCGTGTACCACTGGCATTGCAGCCCCTGCCAGACGATACCATAGTCCTGCTGGTTGCGCGCCTTCATCGTGCCAGAAAGCTTCACGGTCTGCTCGACCTCGCCAGCCTGACTGTACACTACAACGACGTATTTGGACAGGTCCGTCCCGTCTGGGCCAGCAATCTCAACCCCAGGACCGTCTGGCTTGTCCGAGCTGTACACGACCTCGTTGAGGAAGACAACGTTCTTGGTCGCCAAGATCTTCGTTGTGGTGATCGTAATCGTGGTACCGTCGACGCGCTCCCAGCAAGCGTGCCCGATGGGGTCGCAAGTGCCTCGGTAAAGGAAACACGTGTGCTTGGGGAGGTGATCGCAGCCGGTGCTATCGTGGTAGAGCACGCCGTTGCACTTCTTCTCGCCGTTGCACAGCTGTACGCACTCCTCGAGGGTGGACGCGTTCGCCGTTCTGAGGCCAATCTGGTCCTTGTTCCGGCAGGATGTCGCCTCCTGCAGGATGGTGAGGCTGGTCACACCTTTGTCAAGAAGGGAAAAACACACAGACACGATTAATCATCGATTCCGAAGAAAATACAGGAAATATGGGAAGTGGGGAGGGGGGGAGACGAAAACCCAGAACATAATAGGGAATCCTGGGATTTATGTCTATCTATTTGTGCCCCTGGGCCCCTTCACTCTGGGGGGGGAACGTGGGACTGGGACCGATTCTGCTACGGACTGGACCCCTCCTGGCGGGACTCGTCCGGGCCCCGACTCCGAGGCGAACCCGGCCGTGGCGACGGGGGCTCTCCCCAGCAGGTTCCACGAGACGGGCCTCGTTGTCAATACACTGAGCAGGCCAGACGGGCTTGCACCCCACACGACCCCAAAAAACGGGTCGGGCTGACCGACCGGATTGTAGTCCAGACCCAAGCAGAAATCAAGAGGACTTTGCAGACATACACTTCCGAAGGGCAGTGCGGATTTCTTGGATCGGCGCTGCCCTCCCCCCCCCGCGCGCGAAGTGAGGAGTCCAGCGCCGAACCAGGAAATCCGTGCGGGCCTC